TTTGTTATGGTACTGCTCCAGCATTTGTCTGGTGTTGCTCGGAGAAATCACAGAAAACTACCGATCAATCTCTCCTCCAGCGAGCAGCTGAATTTGATCTTGCTGTCAAGCTAGGGTCGAAAATTCTTCCGTCGACGGAATCTTCGAAAACTGTGTGACACCCCGACACTCAGAGGTGGAGGCGTGTCTGCGCAACCACAAGGTAAATTGACCCGTCGTTATGCCAGACTTACTGTCGCCAATATCACGTCCCTTTAACTAAGCAGCTGCAGTGCGTGTCTCGGGGAAGTGCATACTCTATACGTTGGAATTGCGCCCCTGGATGTAGTGATAAGGTGAATTTTTCTTGATAAAATAAATTAGACGGGTAAGCAACAAAGTCAAATAGCGCGTGCATGTTGCTGACAATGCCCAAATGGCTCGAAATGCATGTTGTAGCCACCAAAAGTCGGTGCACCTTTCCCCTTTAGAACCAGCACCGGACTTCACGACGCCTTGCGGTCTTCACGATCCCTCTCCAGTCATCTCCCCCAGCGAGAAACGACCCAAGGCAGAATGATTCTACGACCGTCTTGTCTCCCGGCGTATGTGGCAGTGTAGTGCAAGTCCTGTTTTTGATCGGAGGAAACACGAAAAGCTACCGATTAGAACAGCTGGCCGCTAGAATTCTCCTCTAGGCGGCAGCTGGATTCTATCGTTTAGCGAATCACGAAAACTCGCCACCATCGACACTTGAACTCTCGGAAATTACAATCAGAGACGCTTCGGTGTGCCAACTTAGGCAATAAAAGCTACTAACACACACATCTACTCTGAACCAACTCAGCCAATAAAAGAAGAGATATGTTTGTTAGTAGATAACACATGTGACCGCTTTGGTTCGAATAGTCGAGAGCCAATCTATTATTCATTATTATTATTATTATTATTATTATTATTATTATTATTATTATTATTATTATTATTATTAGCCCGTTTAATCCCTTATAGGGCAAGGGTCTTTTGCACAGGACATTATAAAGTTGGTCTTTGAGCTACCACCTCGGGGACCTTACATGGATAACTCAATAAACTAATGGATTTATAGTAAACACTGCTAAACATGTTTCTTACTATTTTACTTAACATAAATACATTCAATATTGCTAGTTTATTATAATTTTCTTGATATAACTTTTATTCACTTCTGACTTATCTCATTTTTGTATCACTTTTCTATTATTCTTGTCTTTACACGGTTTTTAATGGATTTCTCCATTTGTGTCCTGTACGGTCATTCGCAACCACTGACCTTTGATTACCTCCCTATTTATCATTACCACATTTTATTTCATCTAAAGCGTATATAAGAAACACACTAGAAAACGGGTGTGATGCCATTCAGAGTGACACACTTCCCACAGCAATGTCCGGTATTCTTAATTGTGTTTGTTCTGAATTCTTATGAAATCAATGCCATTGAGAGTGATGTTATTCTTTTACTCGGGTTAAATCGATGAATAGAAACTATGTTTCTGGGTTAGGGAACAATGTGCGACGAAAAAAAAAGGAAAACTTATTTTCAATGTAAGACGTGTGTGCGATGATGTTTACTAGAGCTTAAGTATTAACTTTAATATATTTTTCTAAATATTACATTATGCCGGAAAAACAACAAACTAGCAACACAAAAATATTTTCAATAAACTTACTAATTTTGACAAAAAATTACGTTCTGAGAAATAAGAAATTTATATTTATTTCTTCATAAAATTCGTCATTCAATATAAAAATTTGAGAAAGATAGCCCGATTTTCGAATATTAGGTTCTTTAGACATTTTAAATCTTACAGTACACATTTTTAAGGTAATGCATTTTTAGATATTTACCCCAGAGAAGCTCTTTATCACACCAAAACCGCGAAAAAGAGACAGTATGAAATGGCAGAGAAAAGGAAATCGAGCGCCAGAAAGGAAATGCGAGACTCTAAACGATAAAAAACTAATCTTTTTGTATAAGCATTGTTTGTATTTGCTTAAGTTGACGCGCACGTCACGTGTTGTCCCCATGCTTCGAACAATTACCAGCACCTTAATCAAAACCTCCTCACTCCACAGAAACCCTCGCACTTGCTACTATACCTATGGTCCACTCCTTTCTTACACACTTGTAAACACACTCACTGACACAAATACATGCACTCGGACGTACACGAACGTATCAACATCCACTCATCCTTTATCAAATCAAATGTTGTCCAATGTAACTGCCAATGCGCTAAAAACTACCTGCAAATTCTTTATTCACTAATTACCCTTAAATCTAGTAAACGAAATTGTTCCCACAAATATTCTGATTTTTCCTGCAACCATTGCCTCATAAAATATTCGTTCTTAAGTCAGCAATTGTTATTCCCCAACTATTTTCCTCTGGCGTACGTGTTTTGGACGCATAGAAATGTAAGAGAGTGTTAGAGGTGAATTAATTTGTAAAGGCTCCCTAAACATGACCAAACTACGAAACTCCCTGAGAATATGGAAACAAATAAGATACATGCAAATAAAATTAAAATATAAATAAACTATAACTTTTGCAATGTAAAATTATATATTAAAGTATTTTTCAATTTTGGTAGGCTAAATTAAATATCGTTAAAAATATCAGGTTCTTCTCTTCATAGGGAATTCTGTGCGCCTGCTTAGTCTCGTCATGCATTAATTCATCTGGTGAACAGATATTCAAAGTATTTCTGGAGGAAGGGAAATTTCTATTGACACTTCTATTGACTTCACAGGAAAACTATATTCTATTGACATTTCTCAAATATTATTTTCTTATGTGTTTTAAATAAAAAGAAATACCCTTTAGAATACGAATAAGGCAATTGTATAAGGCAATCAATGAGTTGTAATTGTTTTGAATAAAGTGAAAACTTCGTTTAAGCGTATTTGGATTAGGAGCAGATGTGGTTGCTAACGGCCCTCCAACCCCTGGGCCCTCCTGTTTCTATCTCCATAAATAACCAGTTCAGAATTTGAGCGAACGATCTTAGTCTACGATCGTTTCTAATCCTCTATGAGACTCGGCGAAGAGCATATGTTTATTTGAATATAATTTAATAGTATTATAATTATAAGTCGACTTAAGTGTATCTGGTGGTGCAGTTTCCCAATTACAAAAATTAAAAATTCACCCAAAATCCTCGTATAAAGTATTCAATCGCCTTCCCCGACTCGGACATATAATCCGTTTGAAACTCCCCACCTACTAATTCATTCCCAAACCTTGTGTAGGAGCTCTGGGCTTCCTTGAGGCGTGGTTCGGTGCAGCGGGTGCGGCGCGAGGAGGTGTCTACTCCGCTTCCGGCTGCCGCGCGTCGAGCGCCTACATTTCTCCGCCCACGCGGTTTTCACTTTCTTGCGACGCGACGCGACGCGCGGCTTTTTTGTCGCCCCCACGCACTGTCACATGGAGGCGACGCTCCGGGCAGGCACCGGTGACATTGAGTGCCTCTGTGTGTGTGTGTGTGTGTGCGTGCGTGTGCGTGCGTGTGTGTGGCGTGTGTGTGCGCGCTGGGTCGGTGCGCGCGCGCTGTGTGTGGCGGCGCGGTGTCAGCGCGTGCGGTGTGTGCGCGCGCGTGTGTGCGCGCGCGTGTGTGCGGCGCGCGGTGTGCTGCGCGCGTTCTGCGCGCCGCGTTGTGCGGGTGTGTGCGCGCGCGTGTGTGCGCGCTGTTGCGCGCGCGTGTTGTTGCGCGCGAGTGTGTGTGCGCGGGCGTGTGTGTGTGCGCGCGCGCGTGTGTGTGTGCGTGTGTGTGTGTGCGCGCGCGCGCGTGTGCGCGCGTGTGTGTGTGCGCGTGTGTCTGTATGCGTGTGTGTGTGTATGCGCGTGTGTGTGTGTGCGCGCGTGCGTGTGTGTGCGCGCGTGCGTGTGCGTGTGCGTGTGTGTGTGCGTGTGTGCGCGCGTATGCGTGTGTGTGTGTGTGTGTGTGTGTGTGTGTGTGTGGAAACAGTTGGAGATTTTGGGTGATGGCAACGTTTCACCATTTTCGTCTTTCGGGGTCCGCTACATCTTAGTTCGCCTTGTTCCATTAAACTATTTCTACCCAATTTGGCATTGTCCTATTCCATGTTATGCTATCCTTACACATTCTGCCTCACATTATTGGCCCCATTCAACTCCTTTTAATATATTCTACTCTCATTCTATCTCATTCTACGTCTTAGATGGCTCTACCGCATTCTATCATATCCTACCACTTTCCAATGGAATACACCGTATTCTATCACAGTCAATCTCTTTCTACCTCAATCTACCTCATCCTACCATATTATATCGCATTCTCTCACATTCTTTCACATTCCATCACATCCTACCATATTCTACCAAATAACCTACCATAATTTGTCTCATGACGCCCACCACTTCACGGAATCAGTTTCTCTTAAAATTTTGAAATATGGTTCACTATTGAAATTTGTAGATTTTCAGTTTAAACATTGTTTAACATTAAACCATTCATGTTATATTAGAACGTTATAGAGGACCGACACATTTTTTCGCCCTTTTCAAGTATTTCTCTTAAAATCACTCACCTCTTCCTTCTTTGCTCACCCTTGCTCTCTGAGATTTTGGTATCTGCTCACGGCGCACCATGTGTGTGCGAAAGGCGTCTAAAATCTACACTGTTGACTACTCCTCTGACTTTACAAAGAGTTAGAGATTTATCCTCTTTTTGGATATTAGGGCCTGAATTATTAGGATACATTTAGGATATTAGGATACATTTTCTGAAGAAAAATATCCACTTTTCACAGCAGCATTACAGTACTTCTGTAGAACGTGGGTACGTAGTATGATGAGAAAGTAAAAACAACAACAAAACTTGAGGTATTATTATTGTCAAACATGTCGGCTTAAGCTCATTTTGTTACGTACAAATACTAAGCTCATACTAGAACACATATGGAACTCTGATTTTTTTTTTGTGGAATAGGAAAATAAGTCCACCTTTTTTTAACAGGTGATTAAAAATTGCCTCCAGACGTCTGAATGCAGCTGCGACACGATATACGCCGTGTGCAGTACACTTCTCTTGACATATCGTAGGAGAATTTCCACCAGGAAAGAAAAATTACGCCCTCCTTGGTGAGAAAACTTACGACAACATTAACTTTGGTAAAGAAGGAAATGTGACGACTTAGCGTTGAATGCGTGACAAACATTGCTTCATATTTATACTCATATTGTAGAACGTTTGACGCCTATAGTGTTACAAGTTGTACTTCATGCGTACGTTTTCGACTAGCAGCGAAATTTGAGCATGTTAATGTAGAGAATGGCTTTATCGTAAGTTTGTAACTCTATGTATTGCCAATACAATAATCATTTGATAAAAACGACTTCGATTACAATTTCTTGTGCCAAAAAGACATGTATAACAGAAGATATTTATTACGAATTTATAGGCAATTTTGAATCACTAAGAAAAAATGAAATATGTCTCTAGTGTATCAAATAAACCGAAATAAAAATAACGGATTTTATGTATTTGGGATTAACTTAATCGTTATTGTTCTTTTCTTTCTACCATTTTCCCATGCTTTCTCTTTGTCCTGTTTTTCACAATTGAAATAAAACTACATTCCAAATGTTTCGTTTCGTTTGGTTTTTTTTGCTCTATTCTTTGTCTTTTCATTTCAACATGAACAATCAATTATTATGCTGATTTTTTTGGGGATAGTGATTACAAAGAACGTTTTATAATAAAGAGAAATCTCAGTTGAGGACCAACGTATCGTGACCTTGGAAGGCTGGGAAAGAAGCGTTAAGTGTTAGTCATGCGTGAAGACCGCCATATGAGACGGAATTCTCATCTCTGAAAGTTGGGATGGAATCTTCTGTCAGCTTAACTTCACGTTATGAGCGTGATGGCCGCAGCGCGTGGCTGTCCTTGCACTTCTCGTGAAGCTGCTTTGGATGATTCAGATGTGTGAAGTGCACAAGCCACAACTGTGTCGGAAAGCAGAATGTGCATGGGTTAGCAACAAACATAGCTTCGTATTACGCTAAGCTGTTCTTTGATTTATCGCAATGAGAAGAAAACGCGGGAAACCTGATTCTGGGGAGTGGTTCAGTTTCAGATTAGTCACATTTTCTCGATATTCAGAGAAATAACTCAAGTTTCTTCTCGATCGACTATTGTTCAAACTTGGCATGAAGTTACCAAAGTTTTCTGTCTAATGTATTTGTTAGTCATCAATACAGTAATTCAAGGTATCCAGTAATTTGAGTAATTGAGATTAGAGTAATTGAAACACCGTTGTTAAAAGGATTAATTTACATTATATTATATACAGTAATATTAAATTATATACATTACTGTTTATAATATTATGTGTACTGTTTCGAAAACTATGAATAATTAATGAATCACAAGTGTCATATTTATGAAAATGACGTATCCTCCAGATTTGAGTTACTGCCATCCGACTGTTTTATCCACGTACGCGTAGAGATTTCTCTTGAACACACTCCTCTAAACAAATTATGACCAATGCTTGTCTCGTGGATCATTTGCCAATTTGTACGAAAAACTATGTCCCCCCTCCGACAACGTAGGAACGCTAACAACCGCACACCACCGCACGCGGGAGCGTGTCTCATTCTTTCCTGCGCGGCTGATTGGCCCACGTTAACCAAACGAAGCAAACGGCCCCGTGAAGAGGCTCATTGTGCGCGCACGCGTGCCACACGCCCGGGCCTCGCCGCTGCGACTTTCTCGGCGCGCCCGGCGCGGCGCCGCGATCGCGACCAGGTGAGCATTGCGTCAGGCCGCCGTTTGCATATGGTTGGCGTTGCGTGTGACCGGCGTATACCTGCCGCCCTGCCACCTGCAAGCGAACGGGTACCGCTCCGAAAGATTACGGTGGACCGGTCTCTTCTAGGATATTTCACGTGTTTTGCAATGATCAATCTTCCACAATGGCGAAAGCTAAAATAGAACTAAAGTCAAATAAATAAAGTCTGATCAAAATGGATTTGTGATTCTCAGAATAATTTTATGCCCTGAACACAAAATTTCTAATCCTACGTAGTACGTTTCTGGTGTTATATTCCCTCCTGCACAACACGAGAAACGTGAAAGCGGAACGAGTTGCAAAATTACATACTCGAATTGACAAATGAGACACGCGTTTAACTGACAGGAGAGAAACGAATGGCCGGTAACGACATAATACCTTTCCAAAACATCATCGCTTTGATGTGGGATTAATTACTCACCCTTTTGAACCCATACTCGTGCATTGGACATAAATGGGTAGGGAGAATATTTAGATGTTTATTTCGCGTATGCTAATTTTCGTTATTCCAGTAAGTGTAGTGCATTGTCATGGAGGTGGATGCATTTCGTCAAAACACGGAGAGCCTCCCATGTAATGTAGAACCGGGAACAGATAATTCCACTTCACTGCTTATTAATGGAAAATCCCAGGAACACCTAATTCAGTTACGGTGATTATTGCAATGAACTACTCTGAATTCAGGAGAAACCATCAGGGAATTCCTACGATTTATAAATTTATGTGTCGAGTTATTTTGTTTACCAATATTAGTCAAAGATGCTTACCCACAAATTGGCAAGAATTACTTTAAATGTATACCCCAAAAGAATTTTTTTCGATTCTACTTAACCAAAATGTCTTGAAAACCTGCAACTGATTGAATTAATTAATCTTAGATTCCATTCATCAAGGTCAATCAGGTCTGTAATGTTATTAAATTAAAATTATAAACAAGTATTTGTATAATTGTATTTGTTTTATCCTTCAGGTGATGGAAACAACTATAACTATTTATTTTCAATCAAGGAAGAAAAATAAATAACATTTGAAGTGTAGAAAACTCTTCAAACCCTAGAAACTCTAGAAATAATTACCATAGAAATTACGCTGTCCAATGCACATCTAAAAAATGAAGTAATAAAATATATACTTGCGATTGAAGTAAATGAATGGCATTTTTTCACGTTATAGTTCTTAAAAAATTTTCAGATAAAAATAATCTGTCAAATGAGGTGTATTTGTTGATAAAATCTACAATTTCATTGGCTTACATTTTCTTTACATTGTGAATGTGAAGCTCTGGTTTGGGTTTTTTACGAAAAATGGCGGACTTTCCTTTAGCGGAACGCAATAATTGAATGAACAGGTCGATATACGTCAACTTGTGGGCTTGCGAGTCGTACAACTGTTCTGCGTGACGCCATGTCAAACGCAGAGCTGCCGACGTTTCAATCAACTTCTCTCAGCAATTTATAGAGCAGGAGTGCCGAGAATATGAGATGATTGGATAGCTGACAGCAGATTAATGTAAGTTCCTCAGCATTATTTTGCACAATACTTGCCTTCCAACGTTCTGATCAGCATGGGAGGCTCAGGGCGTCAACAATTGTCACTGCAGTGCCTCTGACCGGGAGATCCTACGGGTTGAGACCCAGCGGTAGCAGGAGTTTCAACACTACCTTCAGAACTAGGTCGAATTCAGCTATTGTCAGATGAGAATTCTGCCGACCCGCTACGCTGATCGGTAGTTTTCCATGGTTTCTTCGATCATCACCAGACAAATGCTAGAGCCCTACTAGTACAAAGGGGTCTCGGGTCGCGCGCAACCTTTCCTTCCTCTTCCTTGCTCTAATCTCACCCCTTACTTACACTTTCCTTTACGTCCACTACAACACTACACAAGTCAAGAGACCAGCTGGGTGTTAAAGCATGTCCCGGCTGAGGTGGTGCTTCGCTGGAGGGACGTACCTTGTTCGGGAAAAACCCTGCAAGCCTATGTGTATGTCGGCGCAGGAACTTACAGTGCAGAAGGGGAAGAGCACCTTCACCTCCCGTGACAATGCACTACACTTACTGAACTAATGAAAATAGCGTACGCGAAATAATCAATCAATTCCACATTCTGCCAACCTTCTAAAAAAATATATATTTTGAAGTCTTATAGGTTTCCGATGTCAATGAAGACGTATGCTACCCTTTGATCGTTTCAGGGGTGGGGAGGATGTGGAGGAGGGAAGGAGCGGTGTAGGAGGAGGGGGAGGTGAGGTGGGGGAGTTGAGACTTCTAGACATTGTACGCTAGCACGTGGGTAGCGGTCGTGGCGCAGGCGTGGCTAAACCCCACCAACGCCATTTGGCCCACCCGTTACATCAACCGCTGGACGAACGAGGTGCTCACGCCGCCCGGAGGCATCCGCCGCGATAATGGTTCGTCACACGGCGGTGTATCGAATGTCCCGAGCGAGGGAGGAAACCGAGACGTGTCATTGTCCAAATGGCCGATCCAGACCGGGAATGCGAGACCATGACGTTGGCAGTTTTGGCGCCTGTTACAATGGAGCTCATAGTTAACGGGACATTGCTAGTTTGCGGAATCTTTTTTCTTATAGAAAGTGTTTGAATATGGTTTGCTTAAAACATGGCTAGTTCACTTTCGTTTTTAGTTTTCAGGCTTACCTTGTATCTAAATATTTTGTGTTTCGCTTATTAAATAGCAGGATCGTTCTTCTTTACCAATCGTAGATTCGGAATAGTTTAACGATTGGTGTTGATCAGGACACTGTTTACGCGCGAATTTGCAATTCCTTTGAATGCGAATAATTAGCATGTTTTTGATATAAAACAATTATATTGATAAGTCCATTGCGAGCTTGATATCATTTTTTCCTTATAAAGACTAGAAACTGTTCGTGACATACGGGGGAAGTATACTCTGTGCACGTTTTCTTGGTCTCCAATGTCTCTTCCTCACCGTTTATAAATTGTTGAATGATATGATAAATGAGGTCAAGAGGTTTTTTTAAAAAAATCTAGAAATATTCCAATGGATATAATTCATTTGAATCAATTGATGAACCTTCTTATTTAAGAATATTTATCACATCTTTCAGGGAATAGTTTTTTTTCTGAGGGTTTCCGCAATGCACTGAAATACCTTCTCTTTCTGTTGTTATTATTATTATTATTATTATTATTATTATTATTATTACGTGGAAATGTTTGTTATTATTGTTACGTGCAATTGTGTATATGTAGACGTGCATAATACGAGAAATAAAGTATTCCCTTCTAAACTTTCTTACCCCGCGAGATAGGATCCTCACAATGCCTGTTTGTAAGGATACGGCTATTAGTACAAGAATACGTATATCATAATAAAATTCGGAAACAATACCAATAGGGGCAGGAAATATATTTATTCATGAGTTTTCACCCTTGTAGGCAGTTTAATACGTTTTTGTCCATTTCTTCATTGAAGTCTAATTACAGGGATTATTTCAACTATATTTCCTTAAGGATTACCCCATGTGTCGTGGAAAATGTATCATAAATGATGGTACACAATGAATGTATTGTAAATATAATCTGTACAATCATGTCGTAT